TCCAAGTGAATCACATCATTTGTTCCACTTCATTCTTAGGGTATTTGTTTTTCTGTTTTTATAGCAATATGTGTGGTTTAATATTGGCAGTGTAGACACCTTTGAGCGGAATCTGGAAACCTTACAGCAGGAATTGGGCATAGAAGGGGAAAATCGGGTACCTGTTGTCTACATTGCTGAAAGTGATGGGTAAGAAGTACTTTTTAAATCGTTTTGAAAACTGTTTGCTGTGATGGTTCATCATGTCCTATGTCACTAGGTAGCAAAGTTACACATTACATTCTCAAACTGCCCTTTCTCAGTTTGGCCAGAGTTTAAAACAATCACTAGTAACTTAGTTTGTGTACATGAATGATTCATTTCCTACACATTGACATTTGTCTTGATTAAGCAATGGTTTGATTATTAACATCCAATGTATTGTCGACATAGAGTTTCAGCATAAAGAGTCTTTCATATAAGAGTAGCATTTCTTTTTTTTTTTAAGATTTATTTATTTATTTATTTGTGGTGCTGAACCCAGGGCCTTGTGCGTTCGAGGCAAGCACTCTACCAACTGAGCCATATTCCCAGCCTCCACTTCTACCTATTTTAACAATCAGTTTTACATTTATATTTCATAGAGTTTTCCAGGATTTTTAAGTGATTCTTCCTCTCTCATCAGAGCTACTTCTTCCCTTGGGGGTTATTTGTCTTTAATAACCCCACTTACAAGTCTTAATAGCTACTCCATGTATTCAGTTTTTGGCCTGGGGGTGAGGCTCAGTGGGTAAGCACTTGTTTAGCGTGCATGAAGCCTTGTATTCCAGTTCCAACAGCAGAACCAGTCTTTGAGCTCGTTTGGAAGTTACGTTGCCTTAGAGTGCTCATCCACATGCACCCAAGAGAACCATTGGCAATTACCTCTTTTGTATTGAATGCAGAAGGTACCCCTAGCAATAGAATTACTGGTTCTAGAGCAAACCAGAAGTCTTAAATTTTTTGTATATGTAAGAAGAGCAAAAAATAACCTGATGGTTAGTATGTTAATTGCATTGGTGGTGTCACTCAGATTTAAGGATTTCTGGAGTCTTGGGTACATAGACTTGTAGTCTATCTGCATCATGTGATGCTAGGTAGTTGTGGTGATGATGGTTCATGGAGGATTTATCCCCAGCTCTGAGGCTATAAGGTGTAATGACTTTATAGGCTGCTGCTGCAATGTTACATGGGTTAAATATTCCTTATCTGATGTATTGGGACCAGAAGTATTTCAAATTTCAGATTTTTTGAATATTTTGCATAGTTTTATCAGTTGAGCATCTCTAATCAGAACTCTAAAATGCTTCAAAATCCTTAAGTTTTTAAGCATCATGTTGGTGCTCTGAAAGTTTTCAGATTAGGGATGCTCAGAAT